TTACCATGAGCTCCAATTAATGATCCATCTGGACCAGCAGCTCTTGGACTCAACATTGAATTGATCTCACTCTTTGAGTCCTGTGTCAGCATACAATGCATACCACAACCAAATTATTTTAAACAAAAAAAAAACTGCAATTGAAGGTAAAATATATACCAAAAAAGGATAAAATAACAATGAAGCACCTGGGTGGCAACTGGAATCTGCTGACCTCGATTTTGCATTTGCTGAAGATTACCTGATATATTTCCAGGTGTGCCATGCAGTGTTTGCCTGTTAGGAGTTTAACCGCTAAAAGTTTTTACACATCACAAACATGGAAAAGCAAATAAAAGAAACAATACATAATCTTTTTAAAACAAAAAGATCCTATGACATGTACCCTGGAGGCTGGCCACCCACTGAAGCTGCCTTCAATATTGATGCTTGATTAGGATCTAGAAGCTGGCTCACGTTATCACCTAATTGCTGCAAACTTATCTGATGTCAAAAAAAGCAAGAAAGGGGAAAAAAAAAAAGAGTGTGACCGATTCCTATCAAGCTCATAAGAACTAGGTACCTTCACAGCTGCATCATCCAAGGAATCCCTCCTCTGGCGTGGAAACCTAAAAGTCTCATCATACATCTTTCTTGTGGCAGCAATTGCACTTACAGGGTTCTCTTTGATGAGAGGTTCCCCACCAACGAGCCATTGGCAGCACCATTTAGTAACTGAGTCCCTTCTCTTCGCTGCTGCTGCTGCTGCTGCTGCTGTTGCTGTTGCTGTTGCTGCTGCTGCTGTTGCTGTTGTTGTTGTTGTTGCTGCTGCTGCTGAGCATGCCTCTGCAATAAGAGCTGCTGCATCTGCATCTGCTGAGGCTTCTGGTGATGTTGCTGTTGCTGCAGCTCACGAGCCTTGACCATTTGACTCTGCCATTGTTAAACATTTTAATTAAACAGCACACTTGCTCAACTAACTCCCCAAAACAACAATTCTTAAATGAATAACGTCGAATGGAGATTTCTCAAACATATTTCTAATATAATATGATCTATTCCACAATGCGCAAGAATTTGCTAGATACAGAAGTCAGAAATCAAATTCATTACAGTCTCAACCTCTAGTAGATTCAGTGCACAAGGACACCAATAATTCTTGGGACAGAGTAAAAGCCACAGAGAAAATATTACTCATCAAAACATCCACCATTTAAGTCTAACAAACTCTACCTTTTGTTCGGTAAATATTTCTTGTATTCGATTCTTCACTTTTTTGAACTTCCATCCAAACAAAAAGTTAGACACATGAAATGATGGAAGCAAATACAGAGAAGAACATATAGAAGCATCAACTAAAAGCATATATCCAGCGCAAGTCTTTTAAGCATGCAAGTGAGTTCCTCTTTCCAGTAACAATTGTAACAAACTGTAGGCTAGAGTCTAGAGAGAGCTTAACCATGACAAGCAGGTCAACATATAGAGCTTCGAAACCAACAATAACAGCAAGCATGCTAGTAAAAGTCCCTTACTGACACCAACCATCACAAAAAAAGCTCACAAACACACCTCAATATAAGATGCAGCAGCTTCCGAATGCTTCTCATTTGTCCTTGCAATGAATATATCCCAAAATACAGACCACCACTCAAACAAAAAACCACCGGGTACATCAATAGCTGGAACACAAAACCAAAAAAGATTCGAAATCAATTAAGTTGTAAAAAGGATAATTAAAATCTTACTATCTACATCAATGCCATCTTTCTTTGCAAGTTCCTTTTTCTTTTTCTTGTCTCATGTCCTACCTACTGGATCAGTTGATACTTTCCCTTCAGCTTGAAGTGCCTTTGCAGTAGCATGCATCTTTCTTTTTATCATATAATCATATATATACACATCCAACCTATTGCCACAAAGAATATAAACACGCAAGGGCAACCATTAAAAATTCAATAATCAGATTATAATAACAGTAAAAAGACAGTAATTTTAAACGCAGAATTCATAGAAAACCCTCCATTAGCAAAAAAAAAAAGAAAAAGGAAAAAAAGAACGCAAACTAAATTTGTTCAGAACCCTTCATTTGAATTCCAAAAATATTTATTAAAAAAAAACAGAGTGCTCTGTTACATTGCTATATTTTAAATTTTGCACTATGTCATTCAAAAGATTCTAAATTTTAAGCATCTTTTCGCATAAAATTGGGCAAAACGTAGCAATGGATCATGGGCATTAAAGAGAAGGAAAAACCCATTTTATTGCCCTCCAAAAAAAAAACCCTAAATCAGTTATAGTAATTTAAGAACAACAAAAAAAATTAAAAACTTGGAAACTTTCAGTAACAGTCCGTTAAATAGTGAAGTTAAAACTCAAAAACCCTTCCATCAAAAAACGAACTCAAAAACCCTAGACAAGAAACATAAGTAAAAGGAAAAGAGAACAATGAAATACAAAAACGTAGTAAACAAACACACGAAAAGATAATAAAAACCTTACATTTTATCAGCTTCCCAGTTAGTCTGCGACATGGTTGAAGACTTTTACAGTAAAAATTAAAAAAAAAACCCTAAAAATCCGTGCAAAGGCTGAACAATGTGAAGGACGGAAGATGGTCGATTAGATTCTTGAGAAACGGTATATTTGCCGGACAAAGCTTTCTTTTTTCAATCAAATTGGAATATTGAACCAAAAAAAAAAAAGAAGAGTATATATTATATTCTTACAAGCTTTCTCTAGTTCTCTAGCACATTATTAGGTCTTTTTTTTTTTTTTTTTGGGTTTCTGTTTGGGAATTAAGGCAAGGTCAGGTGGGCTGAGTGAGTGTTTGACAACAACTCAAAGCAAGCAGATTTTTTTTTTCTTGCACAAAATTTCGGCTTCGCCTTTGGAGCTCTCTTTATAGGCAGCTTTTATGAGAAAGCTGATGACAGATACACCTCATTTACTCCCACTTCTATTAAATAAAATATTAATACTATTACTGCTCTTTTTTTTTTCCTTTAATTCGAGCAAGAATCATATTCTTTTCATGGTACCATACATTTTATTCTTTTAAAAATTACAATGTTATTATTATTCCTCATACTATTATTCTTAATATTCTTCCTTAATGTATGTACTTCTTTTGTCAGAAGATTAGTTGGTGCAGGTTGCTTTGTTATTTATTAATTTATATGATTCCAACTTTCGGGTTTTTTAAATAATAATAATAATAATAAGACAGTACATATATACCAAGTAATTTGACAGGATTTGGGTTTTTTTATTTTATTCTTTTATTATTATAAAATTTGAGATAGATTAAATATTTAAATAAAAACCTATAAATAAAAATATACCAATGAAGTTAAAGTTAAAGTTAAATTTCTTTTGTTTAACTTATTTAGCAATAGTATAATAATTTTTTTTCCAAAGAGAAAGCATTATAATCACAAAACTAACAGTGAATAAAGCACTATTACTACAACTTTTTGCATAATTATATAATGGTCAATTTTTACTTTTTGAAAATTTGTAACATTTTATTATGTTATAAATATTTTTTTTATTTTTCAAAAAAAAAAGTAAATTCTGATTCTTTAAATATATAATTAAACATCAACTAATGAATCTAATATTAAGATTTATTTACTTACATTTAATTATTCTTAAATTTTATATATAGTCAAAATAAATACTGTATATAAAATTAGAAAAAAAAAACACTTTTTTTTGAAGTATTTGAATTTTTATTGATCCATGCCGACATCAAAATCTTATACTCTTATACTTACATATTACTGTTCCTTAATTTCTGTACTATGAGCAGGAAGATGTATTGATAGATAATAATAATTATAATAATAATTATAATAATTATTATTATTATTTATAAGTGAGGAATGCTTTTCAACACGTTAGAACCAACAATGTGTGCAAACAAAAGCACTAAATTGCTTTAAATGAATACCATCATAAAGTTCTTTTCTCTTTTTGAATATGTACTTATTTATGGGAAATTAGTACTGGTACTTGACTAATAGCCGAATTAATTATTTGAACGTTTAAGGTTCTATCTCCATTGCCGACATCAAAATCCATCGCGTTTTTTGTCCCTTTACTTTTACTTTGGTATAAGTTGATTCGTGATACTCGTTTTTTTGCTTTTCGGAGTTGGGCTACTTGTCTAGACATTTTTATCCAAATATTTTTATTCACTGACGTAGTATTTAATTATTAAATAAATATAATTATTCATAAATAAATCGATTACAATTAAATAATTAAATTATAGTTACATCAGGTGAAACAAAAGTATGAAGTTAAAAACTACGAGAAAAATTATTTTCTTTGACTGTCATACTGAATATGTTTTTCAATAAACTCTGATTTTTTAAAAACCCTAATTTAATAATTTGTTATGTTTGAGAACTAAAAAGAAAAAGATTATTAATTGCAAATGAAAAGGATTTAACTTTAACTCCATAAATTACTCTTAATAGTTTTAGTTTCTTTTGAAATAAAATTGAAATTAATATTAGCCACATGAAAAAAAAGACTACGTGCACTAACGATTTTTAAATTAATTAAGTTATAATAAGTTACTCAAACTCGAGCTAGAATCGTTAACAATAATTGAGTGGAATTTATTTAAATTTAATTATTAATTTTTTGAATCAGAACTTTGAGTCACAAAAAATGAAAAAAAATGAATGAGTTCAAGTTAAGTTTGAAATAAAGTCCAGCATTTTATCTGGTTGACTAAGCTCAATACCCCAACTAACAAATTATAGTCACACTTAATATAAGTCTAAGATTTGCTGAGCAAAGGAAAAAAAGAAAGGTCTTAAGATTTCTAATTTTCTTTATTTCTACAAAAATTTCAGTCCCGCATTTTTGGGGCTAATTCTTATATGACAGGAAACATTTTACTTGATCCAACAACTGGAAACAAAAGAAGGAAACTCTTTAAGATCGAACATACATTGAGAAAAGAACACAGGTGAAAACTTGTCATTCCTTGAAATCATCCTTGTCACCCACAGGAATTGGTCTGTTCCTCCAATAAACAGCAAGACCACTCCCACCAAGCTGCAATGAAAGGTGCAAGAAGCGTTAATGCAAGCTCGTAGGAAGAATATACGAGTCAGAGTACGAAAAGTGTCATACCGCCATACAAACAACACTAACTGCAGAAGGAACGGCTACCAGTGGATTGGTAAAATGTTTCTGGGCCAGCAAGAAACCAAGTGCAGAGCTCTGTGCATAAAACAGAATACAGCATCACTGAGCACACTAGTACTCAGGTGAATAACATCAGGTTTTGGAGCAAGAAGACAGTACCGAGCCACCAGGTGACGTGCAACAAGAACATCTAATTACAAAAGCTCCAGAAATAGTGAAAGCAAAATAGACAGAAAACTGCTGCAGACTTAAGAATCTGGTAATTGCACTGTTACTTTCAGGGCAGTAAAACTTTTTCTTCTCATTTAGATGACTGTGAATACAGGAAAGAAAAGACCAAGTATATCAGGTGCAAATGACAAGATAGCAGATGCTTTAGAAATGATCCAGACAAACCAACACCAGACTCATCTGAGAAAGACTATGATGCATTACAGATTTTAAACAGAAGAACGTTCCATTCTGAAAGCTGCTTTGTGATTTGGTCATGCAATTTATGTCTTGCTTATTTACAAGGACAGTAAAACTAGTGACAGACAGCGCATCTAAAGTTGTGAAACAGATTATAAAAGTTTCTCTATAACGAAGATACAGAGCATTTACCATTCCCAACAGGCATCACATATATAACAAAATAATAATTCTTGAAAATGTCCAACATCAGTCAGACTTGTTTTAGTTGCCTAAAAGTTTAAGAAATCTGATGTCGTAATAGTAATGAAGAAAGCCTACCTGCATTCCGCATTCTATGGATATGGTACGAGAAGTGGATTCACCAAATGATATTTTTGAAACCCAGTAACCAAGGGCAAATGCAGCAGCATGCAGGAGAGCTACAGGCAATATTAGTTGAGCTCCTTGCGCTTTCAAGACTTCTGACACTTGGCCAATCTTAGCATTAAAGACACATCAACTTTAGTTCTTTACTTGGAAAGAAACTTTCAACAGAAGTGCAAAATGTGAATATTAAAGTTAAGATATCATAAATATACTTCATGAAGTATCCTGAGAACTTACAGGGCTTGCACAAAGTAGGGTGGTGAGAATAACTCCAATTAAAGGAGTCACTGAGATTATTTTTGAAGTGAATTTGGGAAAGAACTCATTGGCCAAGACTACACAAAGAAGATATTAGAATCGTATGATTGTATGTCAAAAATCACTGCACTTCACGATTATTGAAGTGCAACCAACAATAATAGATAGAAACAATAATCTTCCATACCTCCTACAACTGTTGGTACTAACACAACCTGAAAAGTGCTGATAGCAAGACCCTGCAAAGATTTTTGGAAAAAACATTCTTCCATTAGAGGAATCACCATAAATGAAGGCTATGTATTTTATAATTAGGTAGATGACATGTTGAGATCTTGTACCCTCCCTCTCATTTTGGTTCTATCATTTCTATCATCACTATTAGGTAATAAGGTGTATATATCTTTTAAATTTCTAATGGATCTACCTGTGTGTTTCACTTTATGTTTTGGTGGATGAATCAGTCCAAAAAATTTGGAACATAAACCAAAGATGCAGGTTCCGTTCCCATGTATGTCAGTCACCAGAATAAGTATAGCCAGAGAGATTTAACTACTTTGACTTCTACAATATCAGTTGTCTCATAATTCATGTATTTGCCAGTTATCTATAAAGGTAATCATCCAATAAGAATAACCATACCGCAGCATCTACAGGAACAAGCTGACCTGCGAGAAGCTTTGTGAGGAGTGGTGTCATAACTATTGCTCCAATAGTTGAACACCTGCAAAATTCCAGAGGAAATTGGGGAACTTGAAGGTTGTTTATTCTTAAATTTCAAAATGTTGAAAATACCTTAAATCTTTATGTCATAAGTTATTATGCTTCCTTAAGTACAAAAGTAATTCATATTTGAAGTAAGTTGCCTCATTAGTCATTAGCTATCACTTCAGTCATGCAGGACCAAATAAAATCTAGGTCATCATCATATATACTCAAGGTATTTGTCATTCAATTCTATATTGTTTGAAATAGAAGCATACAAAAACCCAATAACATTAGAGAAAATTTTCATCATTGTTAATAATTTTATACTTCTTCTCATAAGCATGATGGATATAATTCCCTTTCTCTGGTAAAATTTCTGACTATTCCTCCTGAATTATCATTATACGGTAACGGCTATTTGTTTTTTCCTTTCCCTTTTGCAAGTTGTCCAGACTCAATAATTTGTGAAGTGTGAACTGTCTAAGCGGACTTGTCAAACACACTCTAGCTAGTTCTGCACCAATCTAGCTTCCTCTACCTTGGAAGCACGAGTGACTGAACAGTCCCACAGACAAATAGATCTTTTGTTGTATAAGATCAGCCAAAGACCTTTCATAGTCAAAAGATAGTCTCTACATCTTTCCCTTAGGACTTCGAAAGAGAGCTCCAAAACAAAGAATTTTTCATGCCAAAATTAAATTAGGGGATATCAAATGAAAAGTAACAGAGGGTTCATCACCATTAGTAAAAGATACTACTCTATCCAATAAAAGCATTAAGATGCATGGATGCAGTTTGATCTTACGTTGTCATGAGAACAGAAAGTGCTACATTCCCCTTAGATATATAGGTTGCAACATTTGATGCCTGACCACCAGGGCAGCATGAGACCAAAATAAGACCAGTCGCAAGTGGAGCAGAAAGTTTCAGAGACTGAAAATCACATAGACATTGTTCAGCGTTCACTTATAAGACAAGCCTCCTAGAAAGCACTACAATGCTGATGAATAACATTCTACATGATGCAATTTAAATTATGTTGACTTTCATTTCAAAAACCACATTTGGACAACAACTGTCTTATTTTCTGCAGTCTTCAATCAACCTCTTTATTGGGAGATTTCTCAATCCATTAATAGCAAAAAAGTATTCACCAGTATTCTATAACTCAAATCAAATAATATATGACACGTCATAGTTCGTAATTAGAGTGTCATGTCTTCTTGTTATGACAATGAAGTTTATATCCACAACAATTAGAACTCAACCAGCAAGAAATGAGGCATTGATGCAAAATCAAATTTGAATTACCATTGCAATAGCAAATCCTAGCATAGGCTTGATTAAATATTGAGCGAGAAATCCTACACCTACCTGCAAAATTGAAAATTAATACTGTTAACCATATAAACACTAAAATAGGATCATTTTTGTTTTATCAGCTGTCTACTAACTCATAAGAAAATATTTTGCCTCTTACAGTCCATGGGTTCCGTAGACAGCGTCTGAAATCCTCAAAGGTCAACGTCAATCCCATTGAAAGCATGAGGAAACCTAGGCCAACAGTGAAAAGATCTGTCTCTAACCATGTTACCTTTATGAGGGAATAAATGGTTAGGTAGATAAGCAACATTTGAATCATCATTCATTAAAAGCAGCAAAGATGGACTGAAAATTACCGCAGCTGGCTTGCAGATGCCAATAATAGTTCCCAAAATAACCTGTTCATTTAATTAAAGTTAAAAATAGAAAATCAGCTAGAGTTTTATTAAGTACACCAAGAAAATCAAGCACACACCCACACAGGGAAAAGAGTAGTCAAAATTTCAATTATTCTCTCATATTGGTTCATCCCATTTGGTGTAGGAATATCTCCAGATACATTCGTTGCAGCCTTGCACATAACTTGCAAATTCCTGGATATAAAGATCACATCATTCTTAAGTACTCTAAACGTGCACCAAATGAGAACTCAGATACCAACAAACAGTGGGTTTAATACATTAGAAAACAAATCTAACAATGCCTCGCACTAGCAACCAAATCCATGAATATTGGAGCCGAAAAAAACTAGACCAAAAGGTACAAAGCCAGTACTAGTCAGTGGTGATGGGGCAGTAAGACAAAAGGAAACAGGGAATTTTGAATTCAGGTACACAGGTAGTAGAAAAAAGCAAGTTAATGGTGAGAGAGAGAACTGGATTAACCAAGTTTATATGAGATATTCAAAGAGACTAGGGACCATGAGTTAACAAAAACTTATTATGCAAGAAAAACAAGCTAGCCACCACGTAAGGTTCTTGAAGGCAACTATTTTACTAGCCTTACTTTCCTCCATTGCCAAAAAGTATGAAGTGGCACTGTGCTCTAAATTATTTTTAAACAGTCACCCCTCTGATTATCAAATCATTGGCTCCGCTTCTTTGGCATGGTCAAATAATGAATTTAACACTGAATCATGCACACTCAAGTTTTGTATGAAAGAAATTCAATTAAATCAAACACTTTGGTCTCAGACACTACCTTGAAGCTGGAATGATCGAGGAAGGGGCAGCAAGAGAAACAGGGGGACTACTTGGCTTTCTTTCGATGGCCCAACCTTTTCCATTCTCAGGCACAGAAATTCCAGCCCTAACATCTGAAGATTCATGTTCAAATAAAGCACAAAGCAAAGAAATCACACATACACCTACGTGATAAACAAGCAACTAAAGACAACCCAGAAAGCAATCATCAAAGACAAACACAAATAAAACATACCCAGATGAGCTGCCTGTAGCCTTCTGGCAGGAATCAAAGACCATGGTCTTCTATGTACAGCCTTATATGTATCCAAATTGCAATCTTTGATAACAAATCTAGACAAAGACGCCATTATGAAACTCAAAAAAAAAATATATATATATAATCAAAACACGGGAGGGTTTAGAAGGGGTTAAGAGTAGGTGAAATACAGATTTGATTCTATCCGTTGAGTGCGAAGGGTTTTTGAGTAATGCCTACTTTATCCACTGGATGGTTACTCCAAAATAGCAGGGAACTAATGGATATCGATGTGATAACGAAGATGTCGTGTAAATCGAGGAACCACACGTATTCAAGATATGGGATTATAGGTTCATCCAATGCTGGTTAAGACATCAACTTGTTGCTGCTGACTCCTGACTTGTCTGTTGATAAGTCAACTGCCCCTTGTCGTTTGCGTGAACTCGTAAGTTCCCATTTCTCTTGAGCGGTAACCATCAAAATGGAAGTATGATGTGCTATTCAATGTTTTCCTCCCCAGTGGCCCTTTTGTTTTTTCCTTAGTTACAGTGCTGAGAAAGGGGAATGCCTTCCATTCCAATTCGGGCCAGTAGTGAGAAATATAAACATAAAATATCCATGATTCTTTCATGGGCCGAGCTAAGTTCCTTTACGGGCCTTTATTATCAAATCATCAAATCGTTTGGGATGAGAAGCCCATTCATTACGACCAAGAAATATGGAGACTAGCTAGGTTCAAGCTGCAACCCGAGATACAAGGATTAGAGAAATCTTTGATAGTTTGCACTTGACTTTGAGCTTAAATCTGATTTTTCTTGCTTGATCAGTACGTCAAGATCATATCAGTCCTGGCGTTATGTCTCATTAAGAATTATAACCCAGTCGAGTTTAAATACATTATAACGAAGTTCAAACAAATGCTTACAGATTAACGAAGCTAAAAACTGAGAGAGTGTGTAGAACTCAGCTGGTCTGATTCGATTAGACTACCTAAGAGTAGGTGAAGAAAGCAGGAAAGGACAATGAGAGACCTGAGTAGACTTGTATTTTTCTTGAAATTATTTGGGCAAATACCATTCCGGCTTTACTCTACAAAGTTTTATGGTTGTCTGCAGATTTATGTCCAGTTGTCCACTGAGTTTCTGGGGTTGATCAGTCGCAGGGCCCATGCAGTCATGCAGATGTTCAATCAGATAATTAGACCAGAATGTTCCCAAAAGCTTTTAGGGTACTCAATAAAAGACTGGGGCAAGAATGAAAAACAAACCTCCTATTGCCTGATAGTTTCTCTAATTCTACATATACATGCATT